AAGCTGCTACCTTGACGTGGTGGTCGGGCTTGAACACCGCAATGACCTATTCAAGCTATACTGGCTGAGACTTATGTCTCTTGAGGTTCTACCATGCCAGGCAGGTTGTTTGGATAGCGGTTAAACAAAAAGCAGCTACCCAATCCAACATCATGTCCAATACAAAATTACAAAATTTCATGCCGGATCGGCCGTGGCCCGGATTAACAACGACCGCGCTTCCTGCTGCCGTGTCACAGGGCAGGAGTGATAAATCTGCTACTGAGACACACCAAACAAAAAAGAACGAACAAAAACAGGCCGCGTGTGACCGGCCTCAAGCAGTTGTCCCCTGGGCTCTGCGGTCACGCAACCAACTTCCACGGTGTGGGCAGCCGGGAAGTAACAATCGCCCTCACAATCCGAAATGCACACGAAACCTCTCTATTACTCACTCATCTTTGTCTTCATCTTCATCTCTATCATCTTGCCTTCCTTCCACTGATGCAACTCCTCGACTTGATAGCTCTCCACTTCCTCTCCACTCTGCGTCCACTAAAAACGATGGAAGCCAAAAAACCACCACCGACAGCCTCTTAAAGCCGCGCCACCAATTTCATATAGGAGCTCTTAATGTTAGGACACTTTGCCAAATAGGACAACAAGCATCACTAGCCAAGACCCTGGCATCACGAGCCATTGATGTATGCTGTGTTTCAGAAACACGCATACAAGACCCAAGTGTGGTTATTCACCTAACCCCACCTGGCCAACAGGTTGAATCTGCAAAATTCACCTTGAGGGTGTCAGGAGATGCCACAGCTAGTTCACGAGGATTAGCTGGCGTAGGGATAGCTTTGAGTACTAGGGCAGAAAAGACATTGCTTGACTGGATCCCGGTAGATAGCCGAATGTGTGCTGTCCGCCTGAACGGATCAGTAAGAAGGAGGAAGGACTGCACTACTCGCCGATGCCTTTTCGTAATCTCCGCCTACGCCCCCACTGACTGCAGTTCAGATGAAACGAAGGATGAGTTCTACCAAAAGCTGTCTAGTTTGGTGGGAAAGGCTAAACGCTCAGACATAGTCGTTCTAGCTGGTGACTTTAACGCTCAAGTAGGGAAATTGTGTCAATCTGAGAAGGATGTCGGTGGCACCTATGGAGCTCCGTGCCAGCGAACCGACAACGGTGACCGTCTCCTACAGTTCTGCTCTGATAATCATTTGTTTCTTGTAAGCACTAACTTTAAACACAAGGAGAGACACTGTTTGACTTGGAGACCCCCTTCATCAAACCAACGCTGGACACAAATAGACCACATAGCAATAAGCTATCGTTGGCGTGGGTCGGTAGGAGATTGTCGCTCCTTCTGGAACACGTGCGTAGATACCGACCATGCACTGGTCCGCGCTCGGGTGTGCTTACGACTGAACGGACGTAGGAAACAGCTGGCGGTAAAACCATCACGTCCCCAGCTCGATCAGGAAACTAAATCCGTATTTCAGGAAGAACTAGCTAAACACATATCTGTGTTCGACAGCTGTGCTCACCCTGAAGAAGCTTGGAAAAATATCCAGGCAGCCATAGATACAGCTGTAAAAGCTGTGAATAAGGTAAACCCAAAGGTGAGTAAAAACCACTGGATCTCCACCGCCTCATCCGAACTGATAGATGCTAGAAGACTTATTCCGGCGAGCTCCGAATTCAATGAGGAGCGAAAGCTGCACAAGAGGAAACTTACGAAAAGTCTCCGCAAGGACCGTGAACAGTGGTGGGCGACAAAAGCCAAAGAGATGGAGAAAGCTTCGAGGATAGGCAACACCAGGCAACTCTTTGGACTCATCAGGGAAACGGGTGGGAGAAGACAAATCATCAGTGAGACAATCTCGGAAAAAAATGGCACTATAATTAGCTCCCAGGATAGACGACTGGATCGTTGGAAAGAGCATTATGAGGAGCAGTTTAATTTGCCCACAGCCACGCTCAACCTTCCGAGCATCCAACACCTCCCTGAATGGGATATAGACACAGGTCCTCCGTCACTAACTGAGGTTACTAAAGCTGTCACCAATCTGAAACTAGGCAAAGCAGCGGGACCTGATGGAATGACTCCAGAGGTATTTAAGTACGGTGGAGACAGCTTACTGTCCGGATTAACTGAGGTACTAGGCAGCGTCTGGGAATCAGAAGAAGTCCCATCGGGTTGGTGTAAGTCACTGATTATCCCCATATACAAGAAGGGAGACAAGTCTTCCTGTGATAATCACAGAGGGATTAGCTTGACTAATATAGTATCTAAAGTCTTAGGCTCAATAATCATGCGTAGACTGAGTGGTGCTCGGGAAGCACAAACACGAGAGAGCCAGGCAGGCTTTAGACCAGGAAGAGGGTGTATTGATCATATCTTCACCCTCCGACAGATTCTAGAACATAGGCATTCCTACCGGCGTCCAACAGTCATTATATTTCTTGACCTAAAGGCAGCATTCGACTCTGTCGATCGGGAAGTTCTCTGGAGATGCTTGGCTGTAAAGGGAATTCCAAGAAAATATATTGCACTGATTAAGGCACTCTATTCGTACTCATACAGCCAGGTGAGGGCTTACGGCGAGCTGTCATCTGAACTGATGACGACCAGTGGTGTCCGTCAAGGATGCCCATTATCTCCTTTTCTATTCAACTTCATCATAGATGTGTTAATGGACTTAACCCTAGGTGACTTCAGCGACTCAGGGATTGACTTGCTACCGGGGAATAATCTCGTTGACTTGGAATATGCAGACGATATAGTCCTTCTAGGCGAAGACGCTGACGAAATGCAGAGTCTTCTAAACACCTTGAGCCGCAATCTACGAATGTTTGGCATGCGATTCGCTCCCGCCAAATGCAAGATGATGTTACAGGACTGGACTACATCGACGCCTAGTTTAAAAATAGGAAGTGAAGTGGTAGAGCACGTTGACCGCTTCACTTATTTGGGAAGTACCATCAGCCCCAACGGGCTGATCTCTGACGAAATCTCAGCACGAATACAAGGGGCTCGTTTCGCATTTGTTAGTTTACGCCGACTCTGGCGTAGACGAGATGTTCGACTATCGACCAAAGGGCGGGTGTACTGCTCATCAGTCCGCTCCGTCCTCCTTTATGGTTGTGAGACCTGGCCACTGAGAGTGGAAGACATGAAAAGACTAGCTGTCTTTGATCATAGGTGCCTGCGTTCTATTTCCCGTGTAAAGTGGCATAATAAGGTGAGCAACATGGAGGTTAGGCGTAGAGTTCTAGGTAAACAGGGGAAATCAATCGACGAAGTCGTGAAGCTACAAAGACTGAGATGGTTAGGACATGTGTTACGTATGCCAAGCCATCGCCTCCCTCGACGAGCTATGTTAGCGGATATAGGGTCAGGCTGGAAAAAAGCTAGCGGCGGTCAAACAAAAACTTGGCATCAGTCAATGAAATCCACAACAGTTGGTCTAAGCCACGTAGAAAGGTGTAGACTTCCAGGCTGGGGTCCTCGGGACGGTAAAAATCTATGGTTGGAAACAATTGGTCTGTCTGTCTGTTTTCGACATAGAACTTTGCACAAATATGCGGAAGTTCAAGTCGCCACATTCCGTGTAGCACGCGAAGCAAGAGAAGAAAGTACAAGAAAAGCATAATAGAAACAGTGAGCAGAGGTGTGAGACAAAGGAATAGTAGTAACGAAGAACAAAACAGTTTCATTGGAGATCATAAGTCACAGGGAGTGAATGCATCTGCGCTGAGCATTGAGAACGATTTTGAGCCATGTCACCAATTGTTTCCAACCATAGATTTTTACCGTCCCGAGGACCCCAGCCTGGAAGTCTACACCTTTCTACGTGACTGGCTTAGACCAACTGTTGTGGATTTCATTGACTGATGCCAAGTTTTTGTTTGACCGGAAACAATTGGTGACATGGCTCAAAACCGTTCTCAGTGGCGCAGATGCATCCACTCCCTGTGACTTATGATCTTCAATGAAACTGTTTTGTATTTCTTTATTACTCCTTTGTCTCACACCTCTGCTCACTGTTTCTATTATGCTTTTCTTGTACTTTCTTCTCCTGCTTCGCGTGCTACACGGAATGTGGCGACTTGAACTTCCGCACATTTGTGCAAAGTTCTATGTCGAAAACAGACAGACAGACAGACCTTTATCAAAAACTAGCTGTCTTCGCTGGCTCTATACTGAAGATCAGAAGGCCGGGCTGGAAAGAATCACCAACAAGAAACTACGAGAACAAACAAAACAAGAACCAATCGCCAACCAATAAATATGCAGGAGAAAGTGCATGGAGATGGATTGGACACTCGCTCGCTGAGGAGGCCACTGGGTGACACCGCGCGCGCGTCAGGCCATTGCTCGAGTGGAACTAGGCCGAAAGGAAAGCGGTGAGTGGGACATCAGTGCAAGGGTGGGTGACATGGAGGAGATGGTGTGAAGAGGAGTTGAAACAGTATGGAGTAACATGGATGCAGGTGAAAATTACAGCAGAAGGAAGATAGAAGCAAGTGGAGACGTGCAGTTGAAGCCCTATGTTCCACTAAGAACCCGAGGGAACAGTAATAATAATAATAAACCTGACCTAGTATTCTTTAATACAAAATATTGAAGTCTGCAAGTTTGCAGCAAGAAATATGGTAGATGCTTGCACTTCCACCAACAAAAGCATGTTTCCAGAAAGTGTATGGCAAATAACCACATTTCCTGCAAGATGTTATTATAATTGTCAATTGTGTTTATTTCTCTAGGACGAATGCACTTATGCGTCGCTTGAAACAAATAAGTTCACTTACCACTAGTTTCACTCTGAATAGAAGACGCTTTGAAATAGGGACAGTGTAGGAATTCTCAAACTACGTGAAGCAGCAAAAACTAGTACCAATCTCTTTAACACGATAGAAAATGGATATTTACCATGAATATACACATAGGTTATAATAACAAATAAAACGACTAGTCTTATCTGACAAGAAACTAAACACACATCAGCACTTACCTGGTAGTAATGCAAGGATGGGTTATCGATTAATACAGATATAACAAGATGAGTGACAATTCTCTTCCTAGTCTCCACTTCTTCTGAACTTAAGTCCTTGGGCATTAAGTTGTTCATTCGAAAAGTGTCTAATTCAACCTGGCGGTAACTGGGGTGACTTTCCAACTCCTCAATACCTAGCTTCCAAAAATCGGTAAATAGAAAAAAAATATGCCATTAGTATTATTTTTTTCATGCTTGATAAAGATAACCTTACATAATGTTGTGGTTCCAAAACAAATACAAAATAACCACTGACCAAAATGAGAACTGAATTAAAAGTTAACCAGCAATAATTCGAAATGCTCGATATTTTATGAATAACAGAACTCAGCTAACTGATTAAAAATACTGTAGTTTACCTATGTCTGGAAGCTGACAATTGCCCTCAACCAACATTGGCCACACCATTTTTCGGATATCGTCATCTACTAATCCATAACGACTTATTGAGAAATGACGCAGCTTTTTAATGTCTCTTCCGTTTTTCAGACAGTTGATGATATCCTCCTTCTTACATAGATATTCGAAGCGCATGACTCAAACTTAGCGCTCCTAACTATCCGAATTTCAGTACACTTAGTTGGGGCGCCTACGAAACAACTACTTCCTTAGCACTCGATCCTTGATTTCAAGAAATGTCTCTTATTCTTATCATCACGGTCATTGCGTCACTCAAATTTTCACTATTTAAATCCCTAAGTAAAATCAAGGGACAACAGAAGACCCCTTGACGTCATCTTCATAGACTTCAGTAAAGCCTTTGATAAAGTACCTCACAAAAGACTACTCATGAAGTCGGAAAGCCTTCGTTTCAAAGGCAGATTACTAAACTGGCTCAGGGAATTCCTCATAGATAGGAAGCAGAGGGTTAGAATCAACTCGAAACTCTTCTCTTGGACAGCAGTATAGAATGGATGCTCCTGATAAATGTGGTAAAATGTGTGAATATGCGCATTGGACAAGCAAGCACAAGCTCCTACGAACTAGAGAGAATAACACTTTCATCAGTTCAGACTCACTTGGACTTCGGTGTCATAGTTAGCTATGACTTAAAAACTACAGCACACTGTCGCGCGGTGGCTGCACCTACTTTCAGGTCCTTATGGGCAATTCGCAGAACCTTTACTAGAATCACCAGATATATGTTCACCTCCTTATATACATCTCTGGTGAAGTCAAGACTGGAAAACTATATCCAGGCCGCCAGTCCTTGTCTAAAAGGGGACTCGCACATTCTAGAAAGGGTTCAAAGGATGGCAACACGTATGGTTCACGGCATAGCTAACTTATCATACGAGGAAAGACTAGACAGTTGAAATCTCTTCTCCCTGTCAAACCGTAGGCAGAGGGGAGATTTAATCACAATGTTTAGATTTTTAAATAATGACTACGGACCTGACCTATTCTCTCTTTTTCTTCCCACAAGGTCGGAACACCTTAGAGGACATAGCAGGAGAGTTCAAAAGCGAAGGAGAAATCATATTGCTGTTGAGTACTGGTTCTAACACCGAGTCATAAATTCTTGGAACCGACTCCCAGAAGATGTATTGTCTGCAGCCTCGACTGATTCGTTCAAGAAGGGTTTGGACAACCACAGAAATTTACTAGAAAAGGACTAACATAGGCTCCAAGCCTTCTATCCTCAACCAATAAATCTGAATCTGTACGTTAGAAAGAAAGCCCATGTAAGACAGATGTAAATCGGAAGGTGAAACGTGCTCACTTTCACTTTTGATTTCTAGATCGTGGTAACAGGGAAATGCATAAGCCTTCACATTGTGGCAAAACTAAGCCAAAAAACAATAAAAATGTGCGCGCACATATTACTTCCGATGAGAATGACTTTCATCACAGCTCTTTCCCTTTATTCTGAGTGGAAAGTGGGGTTTGAGCAGGACGTATTTATTGCACTGCTATCAATTTCACCTGGCTCCACGAATAGCCTCAAGCTTTTATTTCCTACTCACATGGTGTTCCCCGTACTATTTTGGGTACAAAGTCCGTCGAATTATATATCTGGTATTGAGCAGTGTGGGTCTCCACACATATTTCAGAATTGTGAACACCAGTCCCATCTTCCCAATTCGTTTCCGGGTGGTTCAAGCACTACCGTCTCTGCTATATGTAGTCGAAACGAGAGTCTGTTCAAGTAAGCAGAATAGAAAACATCCCCTGGACCTCTTCCACTGATGGTGACTGGTGTTCATCCCTGACATTCCATACATAGATCTTTCTCGCATTATTCTATACAGTCATAAAGTGTTTGCGATCCACATATCATTTCCACTTGACGACTATGGATCCCTGGCTGACTTTCATCATTTCACATATTCACTATAATTATTACTTCCATCATTCTAACTGCATTCGCTATTGATATTAGTAACTACTCAACAGTTTCACATCTCTGTGAGTTAATTTGCTTACTTTTTACTTCGATATATACAAATTTTCCCATGCCATATCGCTACTATATGTTATGAAAACGACTGATAATCTTGGACACTTAAATTGATTACTTCATATTTCGGTGTCCTGGTGGAGGAATTTTGTCGTGCCCTCCTATTAACTCAGATGGAACGCTTCTAAAAGCCAGTTCATGTACCTGTATTAAACTTTTACGGAAACGGGTCCGATGTTTGCCTAGCGAATACTTGTCACTGAGTAAGTGAACATTGGTTACTGATTGTCTTGATATACATTGCATAGCTAAGTAATGTTTCTTTTGGTTTGTGCGCATTAGAAATTCAACTCTGCTATTAGCACAATCTCCGAAGTCTTCACTTCTGCCTTTTTCGTACAACTTGTTCGGTATTTAGTCGGCCGCAGTGTTTAATATACTAGAGACCCCAAAGATATAGCTGAATGCTAGTATACAGATTCGGGTCAGATCCTGGTAAGTAGACCAAATTTATGCTGCTGATGTCCGGAACGTCGCTGTGTAAATTATTCTGCCAAGATATTCTACGCGTTTAGTCTGTTTCCATGTTTAACGGTTATGTCTTAAATGAGGTTCCACTTTCATTTCAACGTTGGTAGAATGATGATATTTATTAAAAATGTTAATTACTATACAATTGGCGGATGGTGGATAGCAGTGGAATCCAGGATGCGCATTTCGTCCTATTTGGGACTCGTCAGCTGGATATACCTGCATTTCTCAGTGAGTGATGGTGTTCCCACTGAGGCTCGAACCCAGTGCCCATAGTTTCAAACGCCAAAGCGTTATCCACTAGACCACTTGGGCCACGAGAGCCACCTCTTGTGCAACGGGTCATATTAATTATTGAATTGAATTTTTGATTTTCCCGTCGATTGATTGGACCGAAGTGCTCGGTCTCAGGTTGACATGTCGGCTTCTTGTGCAGATGCTTCGACGATGTCTGGGTATTGAATTAGTATGGCGTTTGAAACTATGGGCACTGGGTTCGAGCCTCAGTGGGAACACCATCACTCACTGAGAAATGCAGGTATATCCAGCTGACGAGTCCCAAATAGGACGAAATGCGCATCCTGGATTCCACTGCAATCCACCATCCACAAATTGTATACTAATTCAATACCCAGACATCGTCGAAGCATCTGCACAAGGAGCCGACATGTCAACCTGAGACCGAGCACTTCGGTCCAATCAATCGACGGGAAAATCAAAAATTCAATTCAATATTAATTACTGTTAATAGTGGAAAATTCCCAGCCAACAAACCTTTCGTCGAATCAATAATGTCTGATATCTGTGTAGCTCACCCTCCGTATAATTACAGTTATAAATATAAGCACTTTACCACACGCAAGTTGTTTGCAGAAGTCATTTTTTCGATGTGTGTTGTCGCAGGATCCTGGCGTAGCTCCTTTTCTCTTCAGTAAAGTATTAATGTTACTATCCTGGAGACGGTCGGTCTTCCCTTTATAATAGCCTTGGACACTGTTGATGATATCATGATATCCACATGCTCCGTATGCTTGTGGTTATCGTCCGGTTGATTAGAACAGATTATGAATCCTCTGTTTAGCAATTTGGATAGTCCATACTATCTTACCCCTCAGACTCCTAGCTCTTCTTTACCATACTTTTCCATTACTTCGGAAACCTGAATAATCATTCAGCCACCCTGAAACATGCAACGGACTTTCGATATCCGCATGCTAAGAAACGGGTTGACTTGCTTTTCTAAAGCCTTTCACCTACCGGCGTCATCCACCTTCGAAATGAAGACTCTACCATATTTCAGCGAAGCTTAAGTTTGTTTCCTCTCTAATATGGTTACTTTAAAGGGGTGGGGGTTATTGACGTCACACCTAGCTTTCGTTCTATCCTGGCACTAGGACAGGCTAGTAAAATAGGGGAAATCACGATGGACACCACGAGACGGAAAACATTCATACTGGTTCCACCACTTACGAACAGTGTCACCCTTAAAGTATTTTAGGACCTCCGTCTGCAAGAGACTGGCTGTGTTGTTGATATGCTGAGCCATACCACCTTTACTAAACACATTGTGCTGAAGTGTCCACCTAACCAGTGCACTACCTGATCTGCAAGTACTGACAAGAAACCATGAATCAAAATCGCTCAGTTACTTAAAAATATACTCTTATGTGAGGAACAGTGGTTAGGACTCTCCCCGACCATGCTCATGGTCCGAGGTTCGATCTCCTGCCGACGCACACCTGATATCTATGGTCGGCCTGTGTAATTTAGGCTATCGATATCCATGCTGAAAATTCCATACTTGTACCAAGAATACTGTGTGGAATCAAGCTGTAAACAAAAATAAAAAATTAAAAAACATTCATATGTCAAGGGTATCTGGGGAAAAGATTACAGGACCTGTGTGGTCGGTGTGTCCGAACTATGGACTCTGAGAATGTGCGTGTTACTGGCACAAGGGAAGCGTGAAACGGGATCCGAGCCAGATCGGGCGTGTACCCGTTGATACAAAACTCGAAACACTTAGAGCATCCGCGAACGATTTTGAAGTGTATGTAATATTTGGCTAATTCAGTCTGATCTTTTTATTTGGACCTGTGGTCAGTTTTGTTGGAAAGGAGCATGCGCTACATAGCTGTCAAATAGTTTTGACTCCACGAAAGGCATGTTGACTGTCAATTTTCTAAATACATTCCAAAAGCATACCGCAATATGTTAAGGAAGTTGATGAAACAGTGCAATTCAACTACGGATATATCGCTACTGCACTCAACTCACGAGTCAGTTGAATCTGTCAAGCGTCTATGCTCTCAAAAGGACCTCGACAAAGAATAGCATCGAGTCTATAATGGTGTCTTTTAAGACCCAAATTGAGGCAGCTTTCATCTAAGAGGGTGATGCGTTTACTCTCGTTGGTTGCTTTCTGCCCAGAAGTCAGCGACAAGGTAACAATTAGCCTTACCATGTCATATAAAAGCTGATTCAGTTGAGGGGTTATACTGGGGGTTTATACTGCTGGCTAACGCACAATTGTATCCAAGTAATTGCTTGTTCACATCTAACAGTTACTTTCAACATGAAATGCAATTTTGAGCTCACAGGC